CCCCTCAGCCTCCTCTTCTCCAGGCTAAACAACCCCAGCTCCCTCAGCCGCTCCTCATAAGACTTGTGCTCGAGACCCTTCATCCGCTTCGTTGCCCTTCTCTGGACACGCTCCAGCACCTCGATGTCCTCCTTGTAGTGAGGGGCCCAAAACTGAACACAGTACTCGAGGTGTGGCCTCACCAGTGCCGAGTACAGGGGCACTATCACCTCCCTGGTCCTGCTGGCCACGCTATTCCTGATACAAGCCAGGATGCCATTGCCCTTCTTGGCCACCTGAGCACACTGCTGGCTCATGTTCAGGCGGCTGTCAACCAACACCTCCAGGTCCTTTTCTGCCAGACAGCTCTCCAGCCACTCCTCCCCCAGCCTGTAGCGTTGCATGGGGTTGTTGTGACCCAAGTGCAGGACCCGGCACTTAGCCTTGTTGAATCTCATATAGCTGGCCTCAGCCTATCGATCCAGCCTGTGCAGGTCCCTCTGTAGGGCCTTCCTACCCTCCAGCAGATCGACACTTCCACCCAACTTGGTGTCATCTGCAAACTTACTGAGGGTGCACTCAGTCCGAGTTGCCTCTTTGGAAGTTCCTTTAAAATACACAAAATACATCAAACCTTACAACTTGAAAAACAAGCTCTGGCAATGAACAAAGGGATGACCAAATACGTCTTGTTTGTTACTTTTTTCTATGAATCTGTGGCTCATTTTTGCTTTGTCTTGCTCATAAGAAAGGAGAATATTAGTTGCAGGCTTTCCTCTACCTTCATTGTGTGAATCCTTACAGCAGTATTTTATTTTTGGCATATGTCAGTAGAGCTTTATCAGGGGACCAAAAGCTTAGATAGAAACATGTGAAAACAGCATGCAATTGAAGGTTACAGAGCATTGTTTGGTTGTTAATGCCCCACACATTTTTGGCAGCTATTCATATCTGCTTGTGACTTTTAAATTAGCTAGTCCTCAGAAAAGGTCATTTTACTGTGGATTATGTCTGCATAGATATTTTAATCCATGCCCATTTTTTTTAAATGGACATAACATGTATTTTGTAATTGGACTGTTCTGGACTAAATGTGTATTTTATCTGTGACTTTGGTCCTCTTTTTGTCCTATTCTGTTTCATTGGTGCTTTCTAATATTAATTGTACTAGACCAAAAAAAAGAGAACATTTTTGGTTAAAATGTTAAAATAGTTGATGCAAGATTGTGCTTAGGGATTTCACATGCTCACAGTAGGCTAAAACTTCAGCAATTTAATAAAAATGGAAACTTTATGTCTAAATGCATGAGAACAACACTTCTGCAACTCCTGCAACTTCTGCTTTCGAAGGAGTTTATATGGGTTTTGTGGTGAAATTACAGGGTCGTAACACTCTACTGTTTAAAATAAAAAAAATAATTCCAAAGATAGACAAAAACTGTTGTACGTAATCCCATCAAACTACTATAGGACTGTGCCTGCACATGAATTACAATGAGAAGCTGAGCTGACTTTGTTTAGTCTGGTGAAGAGGAGGCTTAGGGATGATCAAATAGCAGCGTACAACTGTTTGAAGGACAAACATCATGGCATTGGAATTCTTGATGGTGCCAGAGGATGTAACAAATGACAGTGGTCACATATAGCAGCTTGGGAGGTTTAGATCAGACATTAGGAAAAATGTCTATGCTAGAATGATAGTGAAGCAGATTGCCCAGAGATGTGGAATCCCGTTTCATGGAGATTTTTAGGATTCAGCTAGAAAAACTCATGGCTCACCTGACTAGTGGTGGCAGTAGTCCCACTTAAAGTGGGGTGTGGTACTAAATGGTCTTCTAACATCCTTTACAACCAACATTTATATGATTCTATTAATTCTGTCTTCAGATGATAGTTTGTAATGTTGATACAGAAACCAAGTGTTTTTCAAGATTGGATTTTTTTTCATGAATAACACAATACTCCTGCAGACATGTTCACCCTCCTTCTCACTTACGCTCATCTCACAAGCAAGTAAAGAAGAATACACACCTTAATAGACCGGTGTCATTTGCTATCCTTAACATCTACAAAGTGCCCCTCATATCCTCACTAAGTCTCATGATATACTAACACATCTGTGAATAATACAATAGTTATCAGAACAGTCCTACAGCTGTTTATTTGAAAGACATAGATTCCATTCTTGGAAACATTGATGTAGTGGAGGTTTCTTCTTGGTCAACAGTGGTGCGAATGTACGTATTGATCTTTAGTTGCAAGATACGTTTAGAAAACTTTTGGTAACTAAGATTTTGGATTTTAGAAAAACAGGTTTTGAGTGATCGAGTCAGGCTGAATGGAGAGAGACAGGAATTTTTATATGGAGGTAAAACGAAACTGGTTTTAAAGTGAAAAGTGGAGACATTGCTGCTTGCGTTCCAGTAAACTACAAAAAGAAATTATGAAGGACTATAGATATTTCTAGGTGAGTTAGAAGCTTGATCAGGAAGTAACCTCAGAAGCTATGTGGAATAAAAGAAGGATGAGTCCAAAATAAGAGCTAAAACTGGAAGCAAAAAATAAGAGAAGAAAGCAAGGGTTATCACAAGCCTGGTTGGTTTGTGTTGTTACGTGTTTTCAAACCAGCAGTAGGAAGCTGTTTGGCAATGTTTAATGACATGAAAAAATGAGGACCATTGTTCATAAAACAAAGGATAGTCTTAATTTTTTTTTCCCAAGGTTGTTGAGATTTTTTAATAGAAATGTAGAGAAAATAATGGCAATCCGTGGAGAAAGCAGCATGATTTTCTTGTGATGAAATCAAGGGACCTGGGGAATCTCTACTGTAGAAAATCAGAAGACCTGGCACCTAAAATTACAAACCCAAAAGCTCTATTCCCTTGAGCTCCTTGGGACTGGAATCCAACAGCTTAGGTGCCAAAGGCCACATGGCTAGTGCTGGCCTCTTTATGCCCAGCTCCAAACTGCCACGTATTCTGGATGGATAAAGCGTACTCTTTTTCAGAGCACCACCTCTGAAGGCAGTTTGTAGGGTTCAGCTCTTTGGTGAGTGGTGTCAGGTATCAAGAAACTTCGACCTTGCAAAGGTCATATGCTACTTTTTAATGTAAAAATAAGGAAACATTTATGAAAAACTTTTCCTGTTTGCTTACCATGCTGAGAACATTTGAGCTGTTTTTCAGAGTCTGAAAAGTAGAATTTCTTCTCCCCTGCCCCAGCATTGAGTAGTAAAGTTTTCTACCAAGTCCAGACATGATGGTCATCAAGATTCAGAGAGTATGTCCTCTTTTAGCAGTAACTTCTGAAGTTTTATTTTGTTCACTTATTGCATAGAAAAAACTTTTGTGTCTTCTTTTTGGACCTCCTCTTCCCAGGCAAATGCTTTCTACGGATGCTAGGAAGAAGTGGTTTTGTGTAGCTTAGCAATTTGTGTCAGTATTGGTATAATTCTAATAAGTACTATAGGATAGAAGCAGATGATCTAAAGTCATTATGGTAAAGCAGCTTAAGAAGTCACCAGCACTCATCCTGGGATGTGATAACAGACTGAATGGTCATTTTCCTAATCAGTTGTTTAACCAAAAAAAAAAAAAAAAAAAAGTTGCCTAAGCAACTGCTGTTTTCTGTTGTTCTATGCTTCGATTGTAATATTTTTGGGACTGTCATTTTTGTTTTGTTTGTAGTTTGCCTGAGTAAAGTGATGTAGATCTGGTTCTACAAGGAAATTTAGATACTTCTTTGGTAGAATCAGGAGTAATAGACATACACAGCTCAAATGCTTTTAATTATTTATCCATTGTTGTGTAATGAAAAAAAAAAATCTATTACCGATAGTAAGCTTGCCTAGTGCGCCAGTGTGTGCCAGAAATAAGACTAAAGAACGAATGAATGCCTGTATAATTAAACAAACTATTTGTACTGTAGTAAAATCAACTCTTACCTGTATGCTTTTCACACTTTACAGTATTGAAATGTCACAAAATAATCCATAGCAACCAAGTATCATCATTTAGCTAGATTCGTTTTTTCTGGAGTTAACTTCTATGCCTTCAAAAGATTTAAGAAATTATCTTTGTAAGTTAGTTGCAAAATCCCTCTTGCACAAAGAAATTTGTTCTTACTCAGACTTAGCAACCTGATTTTTGGACCAATATGCTGTATCCAAAGCCCCTGTTTGCTTTATTGCCTGCTGTTCTGCCAGCTCTTGAGTTTGGTTGGGTTCTGCTGTAAGCATTTCTCTTGGCGTATTCTGCAGCCCTGCATATATCCTCATTCAAGAAGTCTATATCTTTAAAAGTAAAAGCTGGGCATTAGATGCTTGTATTTGATTTGAAATTACTTTGGTGACAATGTCTGCGTGACTGTCTCTGCTGTAGTGTAGGGTTACCTGAACCTAGCTCAGGTATCAGAAGTAGCTTTGTTGCAGTATGAAAGATGAGGCAGCACAAGCAAAGTCCTGTGCTATTTTGGCTAGACAGCTACTGTCAGGAGTTTGCATGTCAGTACTGCAATAAAAGCCTTCCCAGCTTTTTATTGGTACACTTAAGTAGTTTTTGAGTTTTTACTTTTCCCCAAGAGTAGATGTTCATAGTGATACATCAGTTTGTTTGTTTGTGTGTTTGTGTTTTTAAAATGCTACAGAAGTAGCAAAGTAGAAGAGGTTCTTGATTACTGGAAGAAAGCAAAAGTGAACCCTGCCTTCACAAAGAGTAAGGAGAAGGATCTGTGGAACCATAGGCTGGTCAGCCTCATCTCAGTTCCAGACGTATGAAGGACAAGGAGGTGACCATGAGTGCTCAGCATGGATTTGTGAATGGGAAATTATGCTTGACTAACCTCATAGCTGGTCATTTTATCATAGAAGGCTCAATAGATGGGGGAAAGCAGTGGATGTTGTTTGTCTTGACTTTAGCAAGGTTTTTGACACTGTCTCTTGTAACATCCTCATCAACAACTGATGAAGTATGGGCTAGGTAAATGGACAGTGAGGTGGACTGAAAACCAGCTGAAGTGCTGTACTCAAAGGTTTGTCAGAGGCATTAAGACCAGCTGGAGGCCAATCACTAGTGGAGTACCTCAGGGATCGATACTGGGTCCTATATGGTTTAGGTTCTTCTTTAATGTCCTAGGTGATGGGACAGAGTGCACACTCAGCAAGTCTCAGATGATACAAAACTGGGAGCAATGGTTTACACCAGGTGGGTGTGCTGCCTTTCAGATGGACGTGGACAGGCTGGAGAAATGGGCTGACAGGACCCCTATGAAGTTTAACAAAGGGTAATACCAAGCTCTGCATCTGGGGAGGAATAACCCCATGTACCAGTATAGGCTGAGGACTGAACGGCTGTGAAACAGGGCTGCTGAAGAGGACCTTGGGGTCCTGGTGGACAACAAGCTGACTATGAGCCACCAGTGTACCCTTGAAGTGAAGAAAGCTAACAGTCTCTTGGGCAGCATTAGGAAGAGCACTCCCGGCAGGTCAAGGGATGTGATCCTTCCCCTCTACTCAGCAGTGGTGAGGCCACATCTGGAGGGCTGTGCCCAGTCCTGGGCTCCCCAGTACGTATAAGGAGAGGCTGAGAGAGCTGAGATGGTTCAGCCTGGAGGAGACGAATTTCAGGAGGCTGTGTGTGTGAATCTTATCAGTGTGTATAAATAGGTGCCTGATGATGGGGAGTAAAGAAGACAGAGTGAGACTCTTCTCAGTGGTATCCAGTGATAGGCCAGGAGGCAATGGGCACAAACTGGTATACAGGAAATTCCACTTAAACATAAGACAACACTTTTTTACTGCCAGGGTGGTCAAACACTGGAACGGGTTCGTCACAAGGTTATGGAGTCTCTGTCTTTGGAGATGCTCAAAACCCAGCTTGATGAGATGCTAAGCAACCTGCTGTGGTTAGCTGTGTTTCAAGCAGGGGGTTGGACTAGATGATCTTCAGAGGTCTCTCTCAACAGTAGCGTGATCTGAATTCTGAATGACCCCTCACCACTCCTTTCAGATAAAGGGAGGGAGGGTTTCTTTTCCATGTTGACTCTAACGTTGGTTTTATAAATCTTAATTACTTACTTAACTGCCAAATACGGTTTTCTTGGTTTTGCCTGATATAAAATATTTGCAGCCCTTAATTGGTAAAATAATTTATTTCTAAATTTGTAAACTTAAAATATTTTTTTTTTTCTGTACTGTTTGCTTTGTTTTTCAGCCATTCTTACATTGGCCCAGATTACAGCGTGCAAAAGAACACTGGCAAAATTTCTCTAGAACAGATCGATACTGTAAGTCCTCTGTGTTTATTGACTTATATTGTATATTGATATGTAACTTTTTAAATTCAAGTATTCTATGTACAGACAACATATAAAGCCTTTATCTTTTTTTGATTCATATTTGTTTTGTAACTCTTGAGAACTACTTGAATGAAATTGTAATAAAGTTTAAAATGGAGCAGAATTAACTGAAAATTCATCTAATCAGGATTTAGACTGGAGCTATAATGAATTGCTTAATTTGCTGCTTAATTTTGTGTACTTTCACAAATACCTAACATAATTATAAACAGTTTAACAAAATTTTCTTATTTAATAATTTAGCAACCCATGATATTTAGTTTATGATTATTGCACTGCAATATTAGTCTTTTCAATGCTCTTTTTTGGACTTCTGACTTACAGAAGGGTTTTTCAAAACAAGGAAGTAAATAAAATGGATTGTAAAAACACATCAATGGTGCAGAGACAATTAAAAACACATTACAGCTCCTTTATCTGAACTTTAGAAATTGTTTGTGTTTTCAGTCTCCATCTTAACCGTGGCAGTGTTCCTTTGGTAGTGAATTCCATGGCTTGACTCAGATGTTAAAAATAAAAATGCAAAGCCCAAGTAAACTTGAATGTTACATTTTTTATCTCTGAGATCTTGCTTTATAAGAAATAGTATTCTTCAGGGAAAAAACCTGCAGATGAGTTGCAATGGATTTTACTCCTGCTTGTAGTTTTTCAAAGATGTTTAAAAAACTCATCCCTTCTTCCAACCCTCAAAAACTCTTAACAAAGGTCACCCTGCCATTCCAGAAGCTAAAATAAGGAAGAAGCAAGAAACATTGTAATGGAACTGTGGATGTATTTTTCCTGACAGCAATTAAACCTGTGTTACTTTGTAGCTGAAGATAGCCTGATACTACCACCTGTAGTATCTGTCCTTTGGATTTTGTTCTTGAGATTGGATTTGATGGCTTATGGACACTCTTTGTTATCATCAATCCCAAGGCACTCTGTACATGCATATCTTTTCTCCCAGCCATTGGCATTTTCAAGTGGAGCCAATTAATAATCGCAATAAGCATATAGCCTACAAATTAAACGATCAGTATGCCTTAAACACAAATTTTTCTCTTGACAGCTTTCTGTGAAATCATTCCCTCTTTGCATGCGCCAGTTGCACAAAGCCCTACGCGATAACCATCATCTCCGTCATGGAGGCCGTATGCAATACGGACTGTTCTTAAAAGGCATTGGCTTGACTCTGGAACAGGCACTGGAATTTTGGAAGAAAGAATTTATCAGAGGAAAAGTGGATGCAGACAAGGTAATTCAACAAATGAAAAATATCTAAATATGTGACTGTGAGGATGTAGTTAAAGTGTACATTGTACTACATATTTGAATAGATGCTTGTTGAAGTAGATAATTGGGCAAAGGCACAGTAGTGTCTTTTAAAGGTGTTTTTTTTTTCTCTCTTTGCTTATAATTTTATTCATTTTGTTGGTCGTTCTCCTGAAGCATGGGGAAACAAGGCAAGCCACACAGAGGCTTTTTATAGATAAGGACTAGAAAAATGTTACTTTACCACTAAATCACTAGGAAACCAAAGTCCTTTATGAAATACAGGTACTATGTGACTAAATTAATTCACCAAGCAGGTAAGTGACCACAAACAGTACTATCTGAAAGGTAAGGTTAGCCTTTTTTGTTGGTTAAATAAAAAAAATAATTGCACAGCTGTGTGTGAGGTGAGCTTGCCTTAGCAAATTTACAGTTTAAGAATAAAAGAAGAAACTGGAGGTGAGCGAAGACAGAAGAATATAGAATCATAGAATGGTTTGGGTTGGAAGGGACCTTAAAGATCATCTGGTTCCAACCCCCTGCCATGGGCAGACACCTTCTACCAGACCAGGTTGCTCAAAGCCCCATCCAGCCTAGCCTTGAGCACTTCCAGGGATGCGGCATCCACAACTTCTCTGGGCAACGTGTTCAGTGCCTCACTGCCCTCTTCTTGCACAGTCAATATGTTCAAGGAAATAGTGAGAAAATGCTGTTCAGTGCAATGGGCAGTATTATTGACATATTAGTCATTGGCCTAACCCTTGCTAATATTTTTGAGAGTATTGTGAGTGAGGAAAGTGTAACATACATGTGCAGTCTCTTTGAGAGCATGAAAAAGTGTATGCTAATTTTTGGAGGTTTGTGACCTGCTCCTTACCTTGAACAGCCTAGGCAGAATCAAGCAGGCTTCCTCTTTCATCTGTCTCTGCCTGGCCTGTGGTATGTGTTAGAGTGGATGTTTCAGACCTTATGTCAGTTTTGTTTGGCCTGTGATACTTTGCATTTAGTATTGTGAGATCTCAGCTTTCCAGAGTACTATGAAGTATTTTAGAGTGTTTGGTAGACAATCTTTTGTTAGCTTAGGTTCTCTGAGACATAGCTATACCAGATATGGGGCAAAAAGTAATGCTGGCTACAATGAATTATAGTACATATGTCTCTTTCAAGTCCTGGAAGATAGATCAGGTGGTCTGCAGACTTTTTGGAAAGGGGAAAGGGATTTGAAAGTATAATTTGAATGAGTACCTAAACCTCAGTAAATCTAGCTCCTTAAATGGGATATGATTTAAGAGGAGATATGTATTTTGTTAAAAAAGAAATAAAAAATGCATTTTCGTAGAAAGGTTTCAAGAAATGATTTGAGGAGAGGTAATAACTTAAATTTTGCAGTTGAATGCCAATTAATTACTAGTTGAATTCAGGAAAATACAGACTTTTTCCAGTTGCAATTTCCTGTGCTTAAAGGAAATCGAAAGAATAAAAACAAGCTGTCAGAAACAGTAACAGTGTAAATATCTATTATTTCTGTTTTAAAAAAATACTGTGTGAACAGATCCAATTCCACCTATTTGCGCTTTGACTCTAGATGTATGCACATGTATGAAGACATGTATGCACCTTGGATCCTGTTTTCAGTCACAGGGTTATAACTTTCTACTATAGCATCTCTTTTGATAGGCCCTAGAAATAAATGAAGTCTTATGATCCTGTGTTGTCCTCGTTTCGGCTGGGATAGAGTTAATGTTCTTAATTTTCTTCCTAGTAGCTGGTGTAGTGCTGTGTTTTGGATTTAGGATGAGAATAATGTTGATAACACACCGATGTTTTAGTTGTGGCTAAGCAGTGCTTACACTAGTCAAGGACTTTTCAGCTTCCCATGCTCTGTCCGGTGCACGGGGAGCTGGGAGGGAGCACAGCCAGGACAGCTGACCCAGACTGGCCAAAGGGCTATTCCATACCACCTGACATCATGCTTAGTGTAGAAACTGGGGGGGAGTTGGCCGGGAGGGGGTGGATCGCTGCTTGGGGACAGGCTGAGCATCAGTTGGCAGGTGGTGAGCAGTTGCATCGTGCATCACTTGCTTTGTGTATATTATTATTATTATTATTACTACTACTACTACTACTATTATTTTACTTTATTTCGATTATTAAACTGTTCTTATCTCAACCCACGAGTTTTCTCGCTTTTACTCTTCTGATTCTCTCCCCCATCCCACTGGGAAGCGGGGAGTGAGCGAGTGGCTGTGTGGTGCTTACTTGCTGGTTGGCATTAAACCACAACATGTGTTTAGCTTCAAAAGTTAGAAAACACATTGTGAATGAAGCATGGGTTGTAGTTACTGCATTTTTCACAAGCGAACTGCTGTTTCAATGTAATTTTCATTCTTCTCAAGTTCTAGATAACCAACTTCAGACTGGGGTAAAAAAAAGCTGATTTTTCACACCTGTAACAGAAGTCAGTGGCCTGTGCTTTTTCAGCGTAAAATGTCATATAATTTTTAATGTCCTGAAAAAATGAAGATTAACACAATTCTTATTGGTACTTTCTTCTTTTGGCATTTTTATTTTCTGACACTCCTGCCATTGTTCCTTTCCTGTAGGGTGGAGATAATTATACTGTTTTATCTTAGTGGAGCATTGTGAAGATACATCCATGATACTTGCTAAAGACTAAGGTTAATTATTCATTACTGACTGGTGTATTGCAAAGAGGGAGTGTTCAATTTGCTGCAAATGGTTATGGTTTCAAAATTGTGTGTTCGCATTCATCTTTAATGGCTGCAGCATTTATGCCAGTTTTCAGTCCTAAGAATTCTTGGCACACAACTTCAGTGTTCAGCAAAGGAGGTTACCTTGGACACGTCAGTGGCGCAGTGGAGTGCCTATCACCAGACTAAGCATAGGCACAAGGAAAATTTGCACCAAAAAGAACTCCTCCTGTGCTCTGAATCACTGATGTGGACATACCCCAGGGCTCGTTGATAAAAACACTGTAGAAAACTTTTTAAGAAACAATATTTTACCTTTAGAGAGGAATCTGTAAAGTATATTGTAAATGAAGTGTGAAACCATGTATTCGGTGGGGAAAAAAAAAATCAAGTAGTGCCTACAAAGAAAGCACTGAAAGTGGTAGAGATGCTCTGTTGCGGAGGGAATGATCATGTACTGGCATGTTCACAACAGAGACAAATGCAGAGCACAAAATAAAATGTTCTTTAGGCACTGTAATTAAAATTACTCTGCAAATTGCTAGGCTAAAAGTGCCTAAATGGTAAATTATTGTTGTTCAGATGATAGGATCAACTGTCAAATGGTGGTAGATGTGTTATTTTTGACTGAACAGTTATGCCAGTTGGCTTCATAACTTCAGTGTTATTTTAGGGCTGGTTTGTTTTTTCTATAAAGTGTAATCTTACTCTAAATATTAATTCCCATAGATTCTTTCACATCCTTCTTGTTGCTTAAAAAATAACTCCCCCCCACCCTAAAAAAGAGGATGGTAACTCCAGTATGATTTTAAAATACTTGAAACAAGAAAGTAATAAGATTAATCAAGACAAATTAAGTAATTGCAGCACAGTTGTAAAAATATTCTGGTAGTTGAACATAAAATACTCTTCTAGTGGTGATGATTATTTGGCTGTTACTGTTTTCAGATCTATTTGTATGATTAGTCTGTGAATGTGAAATTGGACACTTGAAAGATGATGCGGTGTTTAGAACAAAGGAAGGAATGAAAGCTGGATCAGTTTCTTTAAGGCATTATTCAGTTGCTTCTTTAGCTAGTAGCCTGGAATCAAGGTGTTGATACAGATGGATGACTTCAACGCAACCCATCGCTTTCTGCTTTCCTTTGCCACATATACGCTTGTGATATATATTCTTTTTCTTAGCAGTATTTGGTGCACAGCAGTATGAAATGCTCTCTTCTAGTACTCTGATCATTTACCAATTTTTACAGAAGAGACAGTTGCTACTTGTGCACTTCTGTGTTGAAAAGTAATTCCTTTGATAACGCAATTTGATATTGCACTGATGTTTATTATTGTTGGATATGCTACTGAAGTGCAGCTGCTAATTGTGCGAGTGTTGTTTTGTTTTTGGTTTTTTTTAAAATAAATCTCCAAAACTTAAGTGTTACAATATTTACAAAATTATCCTCATGATAGAACAGCTTTCTTGTCCTTGTGACTTCTTACTGAGAATGAGACATGGCTCTTTAGCCCCTGTGTTCTAGACTCTTTCCTGGGGGATCTGGTGGCATTCAGGCTGCCATTCTCATTCTCTCATTCTTCCTGACTTATTTTTCCAGACCATCTTACTGCAGTTTCATATGGCTTGTTGTTTTCTGTAGCAGTTGATCACAAGTGGCAATGAGCATGTTGTTTTCTAGTTGTCAGAGGTTCCTGTCTGAGGTATGACTCTTCATCTCTTCTGACTAGTGAAGGTCCTCATGACAGACATTTTCATAGAATCATAGAATCGTTAAGGTTGGAAAGGACCCTTAAGATCATCAAGTCCAACCTGTTAACCTAACACTGCGAAGTCCACCACTAAACCATGTCCCGAAGTATCACATCCACAAGCTTTTTGAATACTTCCAGGGACTGTGATTGCACCACTTCCCTGGGCAGTCTGTTCCAATGCCTAACCACTCTCTGTGAAGAAATTTTTCCTTATATCCAATCTCAACCTCCCCTGGGGCAACTTGAGCCCATTTCCTCTTGTCCTATCACTTGTTACTTGGGAGAAGAGACCGACCCCGACCTCGCTACAACCTCCTTTCAGGTAGTTGTAGAGAGCCATAAGGTCTCCCCTCAGCCTCCTCTGCTCCAGGCTAAACAACCCCAGCTCCCTCGGCCGCTCCTCATAAGACTTGTGCTCGAGACCCTTCACCAGCTTCGTTGCCCTTCTTTGGACACGCTCCAGCACCTCGATGTCCTTCTTGTAGTCACGGGTCCAAAAGTGAACACAGTATTT